TTCTTTGAATATGGGACTACCGAGCAGAAAAATATTCTCACAAATGCCGTGAAGGTATTTGTTAGATGCATACTAATTGATCACTCGACTGGATATACAAGATATATAGTTTTGCTCTACAGAGAGCGATTATTGGTGGTGTAATGAAGGTTTTTTTATATATTGCTTGCAAAAATGCCGAGGTACTGTTGGTTAATCGTTCTTATCACATATTTTCCGATAGCTGTTTTCAGGGCAATGTTATGTCACTGGCACTGCAAATGTATGGATGCCGTGTCATTCAGAAAGCTTTGGAAAGTATTGAACCAAAACAACAAATGGAAATTTTAAAGGAAATGGAAGGGCAGGTGATTTGTGTTGACTTTTATACTTTCGAATTGTATTTTTTAACAGTGTGATCCTGCTTTCAGAGAGCAGAATCCCAACACTATACTCGAGATAGTACAGTTCAGCAGGGTAGCAACAATTTTCTCCGGGGTTGGTAGTTCATGAAAGTAGTGTAAATTTCAGGTGCTGAAATGTGTCAAGGATCAAAATGGAAATCACGTAGTGCAAAAAGTTATTGAACGCGTTGACGCTTCGCGATTACAGTTTATTATTGATGCTTTGGTTCCTGCGGGAGACAACATGACGGTGGGTGCATTTGAGAGCTCGCCTCGGTTTTTGAGTTTCGTCTTCCATGCTTTTATAGATTTATTGTTCGTAATCAGCATTTTCTTCTTTAAAATTGAAATTCCGTCAAGAAATTACAATCACTTCCGGGATTAGCAATGGCCCAAGTTTCTGCTGTTATAGGTATGCAATTTATCAACTCACCCATATGGCTGCAGAGTGATTCAGCGCGTACTGGAGCATTGCACAGACGAGCAAAAACGGCCTGTGCTAGACCAGCTTCATAAGCACGTCAAAAGTTTGATCGTAGATCAGTATGGCAACTATGTCATCCAACATGTTATTGAGCATGGCTCTTTGGAAGATCGCGATCGTATCGTCAACCAGGTTAAGGTTGGTGATTTCACTTATCGCGGGTTTGGGTAGCATTACTTGGACCGAATCGTGTTCGTTATTCAGTCATTCTAGTAATATAAAAGTTGTACACTTCGACTTTAGTGAGACTGGATATGTACTCATCGTTTTATTGATAGCTTATATTGTAGCAGATGGTCTTGATTGAAAAACACTTTTTGCATATGACAGAGTTGATGAGAATACACGATAGAGTGGTTGTTGGAAATGCTTCTTTGACTATGAAAAGTGTTGAAATATTGTTTTCTTGATGAAATGAAGACTCTATGCTAACATCTGAGTTTTAGGGTGATGTCCTGCACTTCGCACAACACAAGTTTGCATCAAATGTAATCGAGAAATGTTTGACATGTGGTGAACCACATCATAAGAATGCTTTGATTACGGAAGTTTGTGGCAACCCGAATGAGTCAGTTTTTTTTTTTTCACCCACATTTTCATACTGACTAGAATTTTGCTGTCATAATTGGATTAACGTTTTACGACAAGTTTCCGTTTAGAAAGGCTATTGGAGTGACTTATACCTTTACTTTGTGTTACGTGTGTTCGCTCAATTTATATTCTGATCGAATTGTTTCCTACCAAACGTTAATTGGTATCAGTGTTAGACTCGAATATCTCGTTACATATTTTTTGTTTCTCTCATTTGATGAGGGCGATAAGTACACATTCTGTGGGGCTCTCTCCAATTCATCAATAAATATTGCTTGCTTCATAGGTTCCTCCATGTTCTATAGTTAGTTCACTCCATAAATTATGGAATGAACTACAGAACCTCTATTCTTGTTCAGAATCTCCATTTGCTTTCCATTGGCTGCTCACAATTCGAGATCTGTTAGATAGCTGTTATGACTATTATAACTGTTATATTGGCAATGCTTAGTGATGTATGTTGTATAGCAAATTATCTGTATACTGATCAGTACCAAGATTCCAATTCGGATTCGGTGGATAAGGCGAAGTAGAGGATTTTGTTCGTGGAGTGGAAATGTGAAGTTGTTGTTATCAAATATTTTGGTTGCTTAGCTGTTTTTATTACTTAGTGCTTTTAAGAACGTTTGAGTATGGTTTTTTTTTTTTTTGCAGTATCGCCACACCTCTTTTGATGATGATGAAAGATCAGTTTGCTAACTATGTCGTGCAAAAGATGTTGGATGTAGCTGATAGCGCTCTCCGGAAGAAGATGATGCTAGCTATTAAACCACATATACCTGCACTGCGAAAGTACAATTATGGAAAGCATATCATTAGTGAGTTATTTTTCGACATATATATTTCTTCTCATTGTTAAGAAGTTTGAAGTTTGCATTTATAAGCATTATTTAATTAATTATTCACTACAGCCAAACTGGAAAAGTATTTTCAAAAACAAAATAGTGGATTGCCGATAATGCAACCGGATTATTCATCAATGAATTCGATACCAATAATTTAACTGATAACAAACGATGATTACTGCACAACTATGGTCTAGCGCGACTGGAATAGAAGAAATGGGAAATTTAGGATAGAACTGATTGTGTCATTCTCTTGTTCTTGGAGTCATTATACGAAAATGCCTCGACGCATGATGTGTTATGTCGTTGGTCTTATTTTGTTTGTAATCCATTTAAAGTGATGGGTTACTGTATATTTTGTTAAACCTTGAAGTTAATTTGCTTCTTTTTTATTTTTGTTACCGAAATCATTGTTGGCTTGTAAATCAGTCGTTTTTTGCTCTATAATCATTAATTGTCAGAATAAAAAACTAACATTTTTAGTCATTTGTAGTGGTACCTGTTGGTGGATAAAATGAAACAGTTTTAATAGTTGGTATATTCTTTTCTATGAAAACTCGGTTGCAATCACCACTGGGAAAGGGGTTAACCATATAAGGTTAGGGTTTTCCTTTTCATGAAATTCTGATCTGTTTGAAATGTAGCAATTTTTGTTCCTGTTGATTTTTCAATTATTTTCAGTACTTATGATTATTATTATTATAATAATATTATTGGACAGCTCTGCTGGTTTAACGATATTAACGGAGAGGGATGAAATTGTGTAATCAATGTTTATTTTTTTTTTTATTTTTTTCTCTAAGGATTTATACCATACTGTTAATCTGACTGCTGAGATTTCGTCTGTTTTAGTCCTCTCAAAAAAAAAGTCTTTTTTTCCATGGTGTGAAGACGTTTTATTAAAAAATCTCTTTAACTTGTTCTTGTTTCTTTTTATTGTCAGTATAATATATCGCACAAGTGATACCGGTTTCGTTATTGTTATCATTATTATCATCTTTATATTATTATTATTATTATTATTGCTATTATTTATTATTTTTATTACTATCATTATTATTATCATTACTATTATTACTGCTTTTGTTATCATTGTCATTTATTACTATTATTATTTTTTATTGTGGACGTAGGTTTTTGTATTTGAATTTGTAAATTTTTTTATTTTTTGGTTGACAATAATTTCTTGCATGTAATTTTTCTTTTTGTACCTCGTTTAAACTCCTTTATATTATTTCATGTTTTTTTCCCAATAGTTATGTTACTTTCATCATCCTCTCCCTCTATCTCGTTTCTTCCGTTAAGTTGTGCATTCTGTATTTTTCAGTTAATGATTGAATGAAAATGGAATTTTTTTTAATGGTTGCTTATAACGATGTCAGATGTCAAATTTTTCCCCTACAATCTGAGCAAATTTTATGAAAGAAAATCAGATTTTTCTTTGATCAGTTAGCACTGTTACTTTGAACAGAGCAGATACTAGCTATGACAAAAAGTATTGATGATTTAACTTCCCAATTGTTTCAATGTTTTTCCAACGATAATCATTTTTGTTTCTCACCAGCGTTTTCTGAAATTGTTTCAAATGGCTCTATATGTTGTAGCTTGTATACAAGGTTTATGTTTGCAATTTTTTTTGTATATTGTTGAACACATTATTGTCCTTTATAGATTTTTTTTTTTGTTGTAAAACATTGGAAATTGTAACTTACTCCATGATGATTTTTTCTTATATAACGTATGGGCATGAAATTTATCTGCTTTGTTAAGAAATATAACGTAATCATAGCTAGACAGACGAATGATCACAGAATTAAATTGGATTAAACATATATATATATATATATATATATTGTTTGATTTTTAAAGGGGTGGAAGATGAATGACTTTGTATGGTTCATTGATTGTTGAATTAACTGAAGTAAAACATAGAATTGCTAATTAGAGAAGTCTTCTCAATGTTTCCTTAGTTTACGTTTTCAATTATGTATCTTTTTCGTATATGTATGCATATAACGTTGAGAGTTGTTGATAAATGCATCAGGAATGATTGTGGATGTAACAGTGCATTATGCAGCATGCAAAGCATTCAGGAAATGCTATACTAGTATTATTTTCGTGTATGTATATATATATATATATAGTTATACACAATGTCATAGTTGTGACATTCATCCGATTCATTGTCTTTAATGTTGGTTCTAAGATTTAGTCTTGTTGTATGTTGTGATGCAGACCATTATAAGAATCATTCTGCAGGTTAAGAGATTCGGACATAGTTTTTTAATAACGAAGGGTTGAGTCATAACCATAAGTCTTGAAGGATTTTATGGCATTGAAGTTGTGATTTGTTGGGGATTTATTAGTTAGCAGTGTAGAATGTTTGATATTATTTATCGTCAGTCTAAACTCGCGTGTAGCTTTTTGGTGAGACAGGAATTAAAAATGATTTAGCTGGCTGGATGAAATGAGTAAGTCGAACAACTGCTAACATGAGGGGTGTTCAGTACTTGCAGTGCTGAAATGAATGTTGAAAAAGCTGCAACATATGTTCGGTAAGGGAGATTAATATAATCTTAGGGAAGTGATGATAATTTGAGAATTTAATCCGAAACGCGATAGTAATATTGGAAGTGTGAGATTATTTTTAATGTGAGTTGCAGTTTGATGGTCGCAGTGCTGTAAGGTTGTTGTTTATTATAGTTGTGGTCATGTGGAATCGATATGTGATCAGAAAATTAATGCGATATGGTAGTAGTGGTGGAGTATTAACAGCTGCTGCATTAGCAGGATTTGCCAACTATGATGGGAATCCCGATATGTTGGAGTCATTGAAACATCCAAATATAGGAAAGTGGCGTATCGAAGGACCTTTTAAAGATCCTACCGATGGAGTATTAATTGCTAAACGGGTTAGAAGACAATAGCAATTTTAATGAAGAGACGTAGACATATGAAATAATGTGGGATTATTAATTGCATAAAAAATTTTTCATTCTAATCAGAGATGGAAATATTGAAAAAATGTAGAATGAACGAGTATCATTGCTTGAATGTTTTATTGCAGATAGTGAGTGATTATGATCATACTGATTTAAAGTTAAGGCTTTATCAGTACGAAGCCTGTCCATTTTGTTGCAAAGTTCGTGCCTTCTTGAATTATTACGGTTTTTCCTACGATATAGTTGAAGTAAGTCCTCTGACTCGAAAGGAAATCAAGAAATTGGATGGTGTTAGCAAGGTTTGTACTTTTTCATAATATGTTGCTGGTCGTGTTTGTTTCTTGTACTAATGAATAATGAAACAATTAATAATGACTATGAGATTTTTTCTTTAGCTACCAACTGTAATTGCACAAATGGATCGGAAATTAAGTGATTCTTCGTTGATAATATCAATTTTAACAAGTTATTTGACTCGGAATGATAGAAGTTTGGATGATGTGATTGAATTTTATCCAGAGCAAACGAATGTTATAAAAGAAACGGGAAAGCAAATAGTTACACGTCCCAATATGTACAAAATTATGGCATCCTTGAATAGCACATCGAAAATGGACGAGGAATATGCAAGGTTATTAATACATTTCTGAACATTTTATGTTATACTACTTTTATAGATTAGTTGAGCAATATCAACGGTAAAAAGCTCTTGAAGCATTACTTTTTCTGCTGCTTCTCGATTATATACAAATTGAGATATTCTGTGCAGAAAACTGTTTTTCTTCCGTTGTTTAATTTAAACTTTTATGAAGAAAGGAAGAGGAATGGCGTAAATGGGTTGATGAACATTTCATTCCTCTGATAGTACCAAATGTGTATCGTTCATGGAATGAATGCATTGAAACATTCCGTTGGTTTGGTGAAGCAGGCCAGTGGGATAAAGTAGTACCTGCATGGGAACGATATGCCACTATTTATCTTGGTTCAGTTGCCATGTACTTTTTGTCGAAAAAACTTCAAAAGAAGTGAGTTGGATTATTTTTTTAAAAAGTTTTTCTTCAAAAAAAAATATTATGAAAGTATTACTGTTTAACATGAAAAAGAAATAAAGTAATTCACGAAAAATCCTCTGCGAAACTAAGCAAACATTGGATTAGTAGTTCCTAAGTTTTTCTTGACCAGGGACCATTTTGGCTTTTTATTTGTAACAGGGATCACAGGTTCAAAACAATAAATCCCGCCAATTTGAAAATATACTTTAATTAAAACTTTTAATCCGTTAGTTTGTCAAACATTGATAAGAACAACCTCTACTTGATTTTTTCTCACCGCTTCACCGCACCGCCGCTCTCGCGGAGCGTACTGTAGTTCTTACGGATTACCGGTTCCGGACCACTGATTTAGATTCTGTGACTATGCAGCGGAAGTAAAGCATATCTCATTTAAAAAAATCGTGATTTTCCCGATATTCGGACCACTGATTTAGATTCTCTGTGACTATGCAGCGGAAGTAAAGCATATCTCATTTAAAAAAATCGTAATTTTCCCGATATTCTAACAAAATTTCCGGCCTTCTCTGTTTTGGATTGTCAAAGCTTTCCTGTATTTGTGATTCTATCAGTATAATATTTGTGATTTACTTTAAATCACACTGTGTATCATAATCACTAAAAAAAAGTATTTTAAGGTATGATGGTGCTGATGTTCGCCAGCTTCTAATAGATGCTTGCAATCAGTGGATGAATGCCGTTGGAAGTTCGTCGTTTCTCGGTGGTCAACAACCTACCTTGGCTGATTTGGTTCATCTTGCTTAATATTCTCCTTGCATCCATTTTTAAAGTTCCCTAGAACTCATCTTATTGTTTAAATAAGAGTCCTCTTTACTTCAAATTTTAATTACTTAGTTGCTTGGTGCCAATGTTTTACATAACTTTATGATAGCGAGAAAATATTATCTGACTTTGAAGTGGAAAATGAAAAGAAACAATAGCCACTCATATAAATTTTCTACTAGTTTCTTCTCGTTTTTCGGCTCTGAAAAAGAAAGTCATGCTGGAATTATCGTAAGGCCACTTTGAATCCTTCATTCTTTTCATTTTTGGTGTTTCACGATACGATGCCGATCTGTCAAAAAATAAATAAAAAGAAGCTGATCTGTTCTCACATAATTTCCTGATTGCAGGCACTTTATGGAGCAATGAATTCGTTTCTGGGTAGTGCAACGTTTAACGAACTTTGTGATAAAACTCAAATTAAAGCATGGTTTGAACGAATGCGTGAAGCAGTTGATTCAAGGGCTGGAGCAGCTTTACTTCAGAAAAGTTGTTGCAAGAGAATGCAGTCATAAAATGTATTTTTGTTAGTTAATACCTTGTTTTGTTTATATAATGGCATGCTGCTTTCCAAAAAAATGCTGTTATCATCAAGTAGTACTTCTCCAGTAAAAAATTAGATTGGAAATTAACGCTAGCTTTCTTCTTACGCTATGTTTTTTTTCGTGATAGTTATTGTATTTCATACGCGTACATCCTTTCCATAACCTACAGTATTATTATGAATGATGTTGTTCATGAAACTTTTCCACATAAAATGTCATAGTTTACCTCTGTTCTGGAATTTGGTTTGTAGGATTGCTACTGAAAATTGAATCCCTCATCTGAGTGATGCAAGTCATCTGACTAGTGTTTAATGTCTTGTAATGTGTTTTACAGTTAATTTGCTGGGATGCTTATATAGGAATGGTTGTATGAAAATATTAGAGTATGTGGATTGATCTTATTGATACTATTAGGGAATAGAACTTCGCCAAGGGTATAATATTAAATGAATGTGTTGTTTTTTTCGTACATAGATGTTGCGATGAATCTCGGCTTTGTCGATAGATTTAAACCATTTCCATTTTTTAATCATTGAACAGCTTCACATTGCTGCGTTGATTTATATTTATATAGATTTATATCAATATTTACGCTTTTTTAGAAATTTATCACTTTTTCAAAAAGTGTCATTACACTTTTCGTTTTGGCAGGAATTATAATAGCTTCTTCCTTCTTGCTGGATGATATAACCACTTTTCAGTGCTAAGATCTTAGATCGATTTGTGGATGGATGTGTTGCCTTGTCAAAGGGACTTTTATATGACTCGACATATGCCACCCTATTTCGAAAACTTGACTTTGCTAGTTATATCGACAAAATTATTTATTAATTCTTTGATGTGCGGCTTTTTGGTAAAGTTGCTGAAGAAAATCATACAGGAAATGTAATTGGGACTTGCCAGTGTGGTATGATATTAGCATTTCCTGATACGGATGAAGATAGGGTGTCAAGATTTATGCTTGAAAGCTTCGGTCTCAGTCATAAGTGCTGTCATGTGTCAGTTTTTTTAATCAAATTCTTCAAATCAATGGTTTAATGCAACGGAATATCTTGTATGCTGAATGATAAGACAGAATTGATAATCCTTATAAGCTAGTGTTTAAATTCTGCTTATACATGCTTGAAAGGAATTGCTCATTCTCCTTCCATAAGAATAGATATAAGACGGAAGTTTGGAAATTATAGTTCGAAATTATAAGCAGAATCCAAAGAAGAAATATGCTTTTCCTTTTTCTTTTTTTTTTTTTTTTTTTAAACCACGAGAGTATCATACTATTATTTATTGACCATCTAGTTGGAAGAGTAATGAAATGATGGTAGATATACGCATTTCTCATAATTTTCGATGTTTTTTCCAGGAAGTGAAGTTTTTGATTGTTTTTACTTCATTATGCCATACTGTCCCATTGCTTCCTTCAGCATATCCATTCACCAAAAAGAAATGAAATACTACTGATTGGATATATCGGTTTATTATATCGTTTCAGTGAAAATTTAATCATTTTTATTATCATGCTATTCCTATCACAGCTAACTTTGTTTACTTTTTGCATTACTTGCTTACAATAATTTATGAAATTTAAAAATTTCAATTCTATCAAAGTATCAGTTCGATCACTTAAATAAGTTTGAAAATGATTTTGTTTACCAGTTATCCTTATCTACTTTTTTTTACTTCTTTTTTGGTTACAAAAGCTTTTGTTATAATCTTCAAAAAATTCAGAATTTTCATAAGCATGATTGAGGCATTTTTTGCTACCATTTGTAACTTTATGATTAAATTTTAGGATTATTTGATAATGTAATAGTCTGGAACATTTAGTGTGCATTTT